AAAATAATTATATAAAAAAAAAAAAAAAAAATGTAAAATATATTGAAAACAAATACCCGCAGTGGCTTCAAAAATTCCTCACCAGATAAATTTACGAAAAATATCGCACAAATAATTTATTTAATTGAGAATGAATCTTGCATATACATAGGCATTGTCATCTTCTAAAGGATATATAATTTAATTTTACACAGATATTGTCATCTTCTAAAGTATATATAATTTAAAAGTACGAAATACCTTCAGGATGTGTCGCGTCGCACTCGGTAGCGGTGGCTATGTGAATACAGTTCGCCATTTAATTATGAGAACAGTTTGAAATTATTAATTACCATTACTTAGAGTTTTTAATCGCAATGATATATTATAATCATTGAAATCAAAAATAAATATTTATGCGACGATAACAGACCGACATCATATATAGCAAAGCAGGAAGCAGCACTGCTAATTTGCGCAAGTAATGAATTTACATAAAAGGAAAGAAGTAAACTCGCGATAATCAATAAACACAAGAAAGGAATTACATTCGGACCGGTTGTGTATTTTAGATGTATGTACGTACTTACCACAAAAATTCAAAAAAAGAAAAATATATATATATATATATATATATATATATATATTTTATTTTGCGGAGATGACGACTTTTTTTGCATTGCACGTTTGAGTATAATTATGTGGTAAATACTTAAGCCGAAGTTTAAATAGTATAAATTGCGAAGAGAGCAAGAAAGACAGAAAGAGAAAGAGAGAGAGAGAGAGAGAGAGAGAGCAGTATTTTGATCTTCATACGTTTATACTTGAGGGCTGAAAGCGAAAGTAATAGCAATAACTTTAAAATCAAATTTATTCTCTTAGTCAATATTTTTTCTGATTATACGAGATCTGATGTCGTCAGTTCGAATACAAGATAAGCAGACCAATTTCGTCTGTCTACCCATTTATCTATATTTTTCTATATTTTTATATAATAGTACGGGCGTGGTGCCATGCTGATCTAAAATATATCTTTTCTCTGGTGAGTATAGAGAAAATATGACTTGGGAAAGCTAAAGAGAATTATTGATGAGAGATTTTTTTCCTTTTTATTTTAACAAAGGAAAATGAAAAGTTTGAGCATTGAACTCATTGCCGTTAATAAAAACAATGCAAGTGAAGAATTTGTTTGCTTCAGCAATAACTAAATGCCGGAGATCGGCGATAAAGTTTTATATTTTGTTTGTCTTTAGGCACTACAAAACAAACGACATCTTGATTGAAGAAACTGCTCCCCAATAACGATGCAGTAAAACCAAGAATTAATTTGGCTGTAGTGTTTTCCGTTATTTAAGGCTGGACTTAGGTACGATAAAATTTAAAGTAAAAGCTTAAGTAGAGGAAAATAACGTAATTTTTTCTATTCTTTTCCTGTGTTTTCAAGTGTAGTAAGCTAACTATAAACGAATGATGAGTGAATACTTTTTGTAGCCACTGTAAAAACTATATATATATATATATATATGTATATATATATATAAAAAATATATAAAAGTGTTTTTGTTTTTCTCTCTTTTCATATTTGTTGATTAATGTTTAAAATAGTTATGAATTTAATTTTTAATTCTCTTTAAAATAATTCTTTATATTTTTTTTATAATACAATCATTAAGAGATAATTAAGAGATTATTTATAATTTTACGAAAATATTTTTTTCAATATCTTCACATCTCGAATTACGTTTTAATAATGTCGTTAGATCAAATATAATTTCTTCTTCTTTTCCCATATTTTAACCTTTAGAGAATTGAAAAAAACGTTCACACAAGAGAACGAAATTTCAAACGAAAAAAAAAAAAAAAAAAAAAAAAATGGAAATATATATATATAAAATAATTTTTACAATTTTGAAAACTCAAAAATTAATAAATGAATATCATATGATGAATCAAAAAATCGAGCACCCTGAACCAAAAATTTTTTTTAAAAGTAATCATTTTAAATACTTATTCAAACTCAATGGTGAAATTGTTCGTAACGGTTAAAAATTCAAATCGTCCTGTTGCTTTCTTGTTTTTTTGTTGTTTTTTTTTTTTTCTTGTTTTTCAATATTAAGATGAGAGATATATTATTATCATTATTATTATTATTATTATTATTATAATCAATATATATATATATGATGTGTGTATATATTTATATATAAATCGGGGTTTAAAACGGTTCTCTAATTAATATAATCATATATATGTATATACTGTGAAAGATCGATAATCTTCTCTTCTTCAGTTTTTTTTTTTTTTTTTTTTTGTCACAAAAAAATAAACGCGTCTTGAATATATTGGTTTTTTTTTTTTTTTTTTTTTTTTTTTTTTTTTTTATCTTTTTTTGTTTAAATAAATTTAAATGAATTTCTGTGCATTTTGATAAGGATGAGGTTTTTGGTAACGTGTTTTAGTTTGTCTACCTCTATGCACCATATTATTGTAGCCGGCGGTGGTTGCTGTCGGTATAGTACCGGCTGTTGTTCCCATGCCCAGCTGTGTTACATATTGATGGGCTTTCATTTTGCCATGCTCCTCGGCTAAGCGTACGGTCAACGGTTGTGAGGCACCTTCAGGTATTACATTATTTAAAGCTGAAATGGCCTCCTGAGCTTCTTCGCGTTTATTGAATCTAAAAAAGGCAGGTTTTTTGTTTTGTTTTTGTTTTTTGTTGTTGTTGTTTTTAATTTATTCTTCATTTTAATCATTGTTTTGTTTTCTTTCGTCTTTCAATTTAATTTTTCTTTTTATTTGACTAGCTTACCTTACAAATGCCACGCCACGCGGTTTTCCAGTCAGTTTGTCTCTAAGTATATTCTTTTGTACAATGGAGCCATATTTGCCGAAGATGGTGTCCAATTGATCATCTGTGATTGTACGCGGCAAATTGGTTACATATAAATTAGTATCCTTTATGGATTCACCACCCGGGCGAGCATATGAAACCTAGGAAGAAAAAAATACATATTTACTTTCGGCAAAACTCGTCAAGCATAGCAAAGTCCTTTATAAATTATTAGTAAATTATTAATAATTTCGATCGACATTTGATTTTTACCGTTACCAATACAGCCGTACTCTATCAGGAGAATGTATGTTAACGCGATGGCGGATCTGCGGTATACCTTATCAGATTCAAAATTTTATTAATATTAAATTGAAAATTGCAATGGATTGAATTGCGAAAGCCCATAGATGTCAGACATAATAATGATAATAATAATAATAATAATAATAATAAGCTTTAAAGTCTTTTCGCCTCTATGAAGTCTATTATAACACAGCTTGGAAAATGGCTGGCGGATATCTAACAAATGTTTTGACTACGGTAAATATATACTCGTTGTTATATAGTTTTTTTTTTTTTTTGTAATGCCCATAAATAGAGACAAAACGTATATATTTCCGATTAGTCTTGAGTCGATTTTGCGATATTTGTTGTTCTTTTATTTGTACTCTCAAAGTGCGCATAATAATCTAGCTTCGCTTGCAAGCAAAAAATCTGATGAGAGAAGCGTTACTTTTTATGCTCATTTCACAGGAAAGCTGCATATTCGCGACACAATATGCGAAGCGAAAAAGCTACAATTCAAGCCACGTAAGAACCTTTAAAATTGATAAGATCCTGGAAATGTTCACGAAACGCAAGCGCGACCATAAACTGGAAATCACTTGTTTCAGCTGATTTGCGTTTATTTACTTTCTTATTTCTTATGACGATATCTAGATATTCTAGCACATATGAGGAGCAGTTGCTCGGAATTCGTATATCCTACTAGGAATGTGGATCACAAATATTTTTCAATATATTCCCACACATCGAAGTTCAAGACCCATCATAAATGATGATAGAATAATTTTGTCCGCTTCTTTTTCCTAAATTAATTTTGGAACTAACTACTAACTACTACTGACTGCTGATGATGACACCATTTCTGAGTGAAACTCAGTTATCGTTTTCTTTCCTTCTTTCTCAACTCGTTAATTGTCTCGATTTTCTTACATTAAATAAATAAATAATGGAAGAAAAAAAAAAATGCTTGGTCCACTTGTAATAAATAGGAAGCAAATACGAAAAAAATAATGACTAACCCCCCCTCTATACTTGATTTTCTAATCTACATTTTGAAAAATCTTTATAATGCACAGCCTCTCACTTACTTACTTGCTTGCTTGCTTCTTGCGTTGCCTTTGTCTACTGCTCCTCTGTGCATATGAAAATATTCCCAAAGTAATTTATCACTTATTTTTGCGAATCCTTCGAGATATACATGCATGCGAAAAATGGTTCATTTTTCATAGTTTGCTGGTAATTAATTTTTCATTAAATGTAAGCTAAATAATGTAAAGTGCGAGAGAATTGCTTAAAAAGTGCAATAACTACACTAAGCAGATTGCATAGAGAGAACGGACGGACAGACAATAATCTAATTTGAGGTTTTTAATTAATTAATGAACGTGTCACGTTTACGGGCGAAAGCCAAACAACCACCAAGCCAAAGACATGCAGCAGCAAGAAGCAAAAAGTCAATTTGGAGTGAGCTTCTCCTCTTAATGTCCAACAACTGGTTTCATTGTTTAAAAAAAAAAACAAAAAAAAATAAAAGCAAAAAAAAAAAAAGATAAATAAAAAGAGACTTGAAAAAGAATATATATAATAATGTTTCCATCTTCTGTCTTCTATGAAAATGAAAACAAAATTTATAACATAATTAAATCGAGAAAATCATTTCTCTCGCAAGAAATTCCTTTACTTGTGTACAATAATAAATTTTATATTTAGTTATTATTATTATTATTATTATTATAAAATGTAAGAGAGAAAGGAACTGTCTTTCCTGCGTTGCGCTTTTTACATAACAGCCGGTTTTATGAAACGACAATCGAAACGTTTGCAGGAGAAAGACTAAAGCATCCTTATCTGTCGGTTTGGTGTCCGTCTGTCTATCTGTCTATCAGTCAGTCTGTCTTCGGTGTCATTGTCGTCAGCGCAAGGTAAAGTGCATGGAATTCATCCGCACTCATTCTATGCGGACAATAATAACTAGTAGCAGAGCTTTATCACTAACTATTAAAATCAGAAGAAACAACAATGCGAGCATAACATAACAATCAAGTGAAATGTGAACACCATCAAGATAGAAATGAAAATCGAAATGAGTGGTAAAGACAATGAAGCTTTAAATGTGTTAAAAGCAACGAAACATAGAAAGAAACATAACACAACACAACACAACGCATCCCTAACAGATTTGCTTGTACATGCACAGGAGCAGTGACAAGTGTAAGGATGAAGGACAATACAAATTGAATTGTACGTATGAGATAAGAAGCTTAACTAAATAGAGACCAAAACGAGAGAGAGAGAGAGAGAGAAAGAGAGAGAAAGAGAGAGAGCGTTAGTGTGACATGAGAAAGTATGACGCAGGCAAAAAACACAAAGGGAATTCGATATATAATTATATTGATGATAAATGATATCAAAAGAGGGATAGGAGAGAGCACATCATGAAAAGGACAGACGGCAAGAAAAGTTACTTGTTTTGTTTTAAACGATAACGTTGTCTGACCTTAACGTAACAACAAACTATTAAATTGTAAAGTTACGATGTGTAAATGACTTTACTCTCTTTTAAGCATTCCCCTCAAGTTTTTAATTAATTTATAAATCGAAAAAAAAAAAAAAAAAAAAAATGCCAGGAAGTGGAATATATTTTGCGCATTCTTCTGCTTATAAATCAACTAAAAGAAGTTTTTTTTGGTGACTCCTTATGACTTACGATTGTTAAAAAAGGTCTTTTCCTTTAGTTGAGGTTGTCTTTTTAATTTAATGTACACACTACTGTCCAGTTGCGATTGATTAAAAAAAAAAATCAAATCTAACGATATTTTAGATAAGCAATTTTAGATTATTAATGGACACAATTTTACAGCCGTATGAGTATTCCAAGCGACCTAACAGAGATGTGCACATGAAATCATACGATAGGTGTAGTAAGCAAAGCTATTGCTATTTTGACTTTTTTTTTTTTTTTCAATTGTAAGGTCTAGCCATAATAAATATGAAAACTTCATAAACGATACTGAAGTTAATTTGTTTGTGTCCTCCTCCTTATTGTAACAACAATATGTAGTAAAAACAGTTTAAAGAGAGAATTTTTAAAAAAAAAGTTCAAAGAAATTTTAAAAGAAAAGACATTATAGTGTGGGCCCCGACTCTGGTCCACGATTAAATATCCTCTATCACACCCTACACCCTATTATTTATATAACGAATATTCAAAATAAGGCATTATGCGTGGAGTGGTCCGATCCAAACTATTTTCAATAGCTTTCGTCCTTGCGCCGTAGGTTGAGCGTGAGTCAGCAAGATGGGCAGCAAACGGATGATAGACATATATGCAGAAAATGATTCTGGAATCGATCGGTAAATGAATATTGTATTCGCTTTTCAGGCAGTATTATTAGATTCCTTAACTTCTTGCCATAGGAAAATCAAAAAAATTTTCGCCCTTTATAATTTGAATAAAAACCATGTTTTCTATTCTACTTAACATTTTATTTTTCATTTATCAATTTCAGTATTACCCATAAAAAAAAAAAATATATTTATATATATATACAAATATATATATATAAAATATACGTATATATATACATTTTTTTTTTCTTTATATATATATTTTTTTTTTTTTTTTCGGTTCAAGGATCATTTATCAAAAATATATGGATAATATTCGTTTCATTCATTCCACCGATTCGAACCATAACAGTCTTAGAGGTTGTAAAATACGTTTGTTTGCACATTCAAATTCATTTCATTTTCTTCAACAATCCCATCCCTTCCTTTAGCACAGCAAACTGATATTGGAGAGTTTTATTGTGAATATTGTGCTTTTGGATACTAAATTTGATACAAAGTGATAAAAAAAAAAAGTAACCATGACAAGTAAGTAAACAAAATTACATGTCCTTGTATGGCAATTAATATAGATCACAATGCCAAAGAATATGGCGGGAAAAGGAGAAGAGAAGAGAAGAGAAGTGAAGAAGGGAAACGTTTGTGACTGTTTCATACATATGGTGAGTGAGTTCGTGTCAAAAATTATTTTATTCAATTGCCAAACATTTTTCTCAGGTTTAGGAACGATATCGCGCGAAAACAAACTCTCGATAGAACTTAACGATCGGGCCTCTGTTTTCCCAATGTTTTAATAGATGTAAAGATGTAAGTGTTGTTGTTTGCATGTTTACTCAATGGCTAGACACATTTCGCCAGAAATCCAAAAACTAAAAAATAGTGTAAGCAACTTTGATATGAATAAAGACTTGTCTGCAGCGACTCCAGTTTTCATTAGTGAAGTTTTAAGTTACTGTTTTCTCCTTTAAATATCCAGGCAGTCGAAGAATGTTTCCTGAATGTTACACTAGCACAAGCATGATGACGCCTACAATGGGATCACAGTTAGAGAAGCGACGCGGAAAGGACTATTCGTTCGAATTTCAAATGGGGATATTAACAATTGCAGAAGGAGGAGGACGTTGCGATGCCCACTGACGCTACGGAAACTATGAAGCCTTAATAGGACTTGATCGGCAGAAAACAGTTCTAATTTATCTTTGCAAAAAAAAAAAAAAAAAAAAAAAAATGCTATTGAAATTAAGCCCCCCTTTATACAAAGCTTATATTACACTCGAGAGTGTCGCGATTGTTGTACACATTTTTATCACTTTCGAGCACTTGAACTTGATCTTTCATTGCTGTTTCAATCTCAGCTTGTGTTCTTATAACTATCCACACAGAAATTGATTCGAATGGATTGCCATCTAAAAATCTACAACGAAAATAATTATCGAAATCAAACTGCGGCCCCGAAAAAGCCTGCACTATTCAGAAGGCAAATCATGAATCTATTAAAGTATGAAAATAGTTTGTCTTACTTGCTGACCAAATATATTTAAATTGCCCACGTTTTGAATAAAAAAGTAAAAAAAAAAAAAAAAAAAAAAAAAAAGATTGCAACTCGCTTTTGGAAAAATGTTATCCTCGGCTCAGGGGGACTGTCTTTCGCTGTTTGTGTGTAAAGAAGAAAGCGTATCAAAATTCGAACAATATTTTCGCAATTTCCTGATATAAATTAAATAATTAATTAATTAATTATATATCACCGATAATTCTAATTAAAATTGATAATCGATTAATCAATCCTATCATTTTATGATCCATACAAACATATTTTTGGTTTGTTTACAAATTATTTTTCCTTACCTTTAAACGTTTATTCCTCACCGTAACACCATTTAATGACTTGATCGCATTTTGGGCATCTAATTCGGAAGCAAAATCAACAAAAGCATAACCAAAACTGTAGCCAGTCTGTGTGTGATAATTGAAATTGCCATTGATTGAATAGAGTTTTGAAGAGGAACATGAAAATGTGAATAAAATTTTATAATTATATAAAAAACGAATTGATTGAATATAATATATGTGTTGTTCTTATATACGCGACGCTATTTCTATCTGTGTATGCGGTTTTTGGTTCCTCGTGAATGAAAACCGTGTAAGAGAAATTATCTATTTTTCAGATATTTATTTATTTTCGCTTATAGTAAGAAAAAATTTAAAACATAAAAAATAAAAAAAATAAAAATAAATAAATAAACAAATAAACAACGTACCTTATAGTCTCTCATGATTCTGCAAGTGTTAATGGGGCCGCACGTTCTAAATAATGCGTACAGTTCACGATCTGTCATATCTTGAGGCAGATAATTCACAATCAAATTGGTGCCGTTTACGCCACCGCTATCGCCGACGTCGCCGCCACCACCGCCACCGCCAGTACCCGTACCACAATTAAGAGAGTTTGTGCTAGCAGCGGGTGCTATATTGCACATGGAGCCCATAGCACTGCCACCACCTGAAAAATCATTATAACCACCACGACCACTGCCGCGTGGATTCATGGCTGAGGGTCCAGGATACGATGAGGTGAAATCTGTGTCCTGTGGTGAAAACGCATAACGTGACTGAAATTTCGAAATTCAAAGAATTTTGAACATTTTATTTGTCGATGGCGCTTTTTGGTTCGTTACACTTTTGGGAAAAATTTTTAACGCAACTCTATTCATTTGTGATTTTTGTTGTAAATCAAAATTTTTTTTTTTTTTTTTAAAAAAAAAAAAAAATTTTTTTTAAATAAATTTTTTTGTTTTAATTTTTTTTTTTTTTTTTTTTTTTGGCAATGAAAGGAAAATTATTAAAATACGTAATAGAAGGGACGCACACACACACACACATAAATATATAGAATAAGAGTTAGAAAAGGTCAAGTCATTCAATGTTTATGCAAAACAATATTTTAAAAAAATTGTGATTTTTTTTTATATTTAAATTTTTTATTTTATTTTATTTTTTTTGTTATTTTTTTAATATTTTTAATTATATGAAACGACAAGACGCACATACAGTATTGCATACAAAGAACGGGAAATATTTAAAAGGAAAATTGAAAATTGAGGTTTACAAGAATAGAACACATCATTATCAACATTAACAACAACAACAACAACAACAACAACAACAATGCAGTTCCTCATACAATAGCAATTTGATGACCGAAGGGATAAATAAACCGATGGTTGAAAAAAAAAAAAAAAAAAAAAAAAAAAATAGGAAATTCGCTAAAAAAAAAAAAGAAAAATCAATAGGAGCTCGAACTTGCATATAACTACATAATTGTTTAAAGAATTAGGCAAAAAAAAAAATTAGATAAAGAATTTGTTACTGCTTATAACCGAACCATAGATATTACACAAGTAAATAAAAAGACTGACTCGATCACTGTGATATTCTAAGACAATTTTTAATTACGTTCGTTCATAAACGGTAAAATTTTTCACTTCGCTTCTATAGTACATAGCCCTAAAGCGAAAACGTGTCCGTAGTCAAAAATGGGCAATTCTTTGATAATCCACTTCATAAGTTAGCTCTCCTCTTCCTAATATAGATAATGTATTTAATCCCTTTACGCCCGACCCTTCGATGAAAACAGGTAATGTGATAAAAATCGTAAGACAAGCATCACATGGGGCCTTTGATATGTATGAGACATTGGTGTTTCCTCCTTTGCGAGTGGGATTATATAGTCGATCGAGTTCGATCAGAAGATATTACCCAAAGGAAAATATGGCCGCGAAAAAAATATCTTTTAAAGCAGGAACAAAAAAATATCACCAATCTATTATTAGCCGGCTCAGATGAGGTTATTCGCTGCCTCCAATACCATATAAATAAAATTGGATCTTACGAGAAATGTCGTTAAAGTTTAAAATTTTTATTTATTTACTTAAAAGAAACGTTTTCCAAGGAGAGGAGTTATGTGGGCACTCAACAAATTTCAACAATCTTTGCAAAAACGCCAGATTTAATTTCTTATTTGATGGTAATAGATATATATATATATATAGAATACTTGTTTTATCGGAAAAGCAAATACTATAGAGAGTGGCTTGGATCAGCATCACTTTAGAAAAATTTCCCGACAAAAACCGATTGCATATAAAATCAATTCAGGAAATTTGAACAGGATGGCAGCATTTTTTCACTCATATAAGTAATGCCTCTTACAAAAAGTAGGCCTTAATAGGGCAACAATAAACAAGAAAATTATATTACACTATGACTGAGTCGTTAATGTGCCTCAATTCGCCTATCGCCGTCGTCGCCTTAGTTTAAAGAAAAAAAAAAATAAAAATAAAAATAAACGAAACAACAATTAATTGTTAATACGGTATAAAAATATTGAATGGTAAGAGTGTGGGTAACGTTTCCAATTTTTATGGAGGATATATGTACGGATTGTCCGCGTATCTTTTGATCAGTTCGGGTCGTTTTCAATGCCGACACTTAGGTGCAAGAACTTTCAATGATTTTTCCAAATTTAAACTCTGCACCTTAATATTTGCGATTAAGCGCAACTTTCCTAGAAATGCTGCACAAATGTGCACAAGGACCGATGGGACAAACGACAATAGATTTCATATTTGATATTGAATAGGATTATTGGGATTTGAAAGTTCCGTCTCTGGACATTGTAAACTTCTTCACAAAATGAGTTATGCCACCCAGTCTTCGATGATGGATCTAATTCTCAAAATAAGTACTTGATTCTAACAAGCTCTGCAACAAGTTTTACTTACATTAGTCTACGTTTTAGTCCCCACATCCCCGTATATAAGGGAATCTTATGAAAAGTAAGCGTTTACATGCCAAGAATGTTTGTATGTGTTATTAGTTTATGACGCAGATATGCGCGAATATTACGCGAACTGATTTGGATTATTTAAAACTCGGCTTGTGTCCCACTATATATTATATTAGACGAGTGTGACCATTACACGTCTATGTAGTAAGTTTTTATGATTGTCACACGTCGTAACCCATCATTCAATAAGTTGCCGGGGGCTTGACACATTCATGATATCGTTCTTGACAAATCCAAAATTTGTGGATTTCTGGATAGAATCTACCCGTCAAATGATGCGTTTTAATATATCATAATTATCTGATTGTAAGTTACTTTTCAAAGTCAGATTTTCGTTTGTCATTGACTTTTTAATGGAAAAACAAAAAAAAAAAACAAAAGATCTTTTATCTTCACACCATCACTATTGGTTTGGAAGACGTTGTGGCGCGACTCTTTGTTGCCGATAAATAAAAAATAAACTTGTGGCCGGTTTGCTAATTTTAAATGAAGTCATATGAGCAGCGATAAAGGGCCGTTGCATGAGAGATAATTGCCATCATAAAGATATCAATTCCATTATAAGTTATAATCCTACATATATTATATGATTAAAGCGGCCCGAACTATAAAGATTTCTCCGCAAAATGTATTACTTATAAAAATTTTTTATATATATATTTTTATAAAAATTTTTTTTGTATGTATACATATATATGTATTTTCAGTTATATGTAATTTTAAAAGGCAACATACCGCAAATTATGCAATAAAGAAATCATTGAAAATTGCACTTGAAACTATTCTCTAAGAAAAATCATTTTAATTTATTTAATTCAATCAATCGCATTCACTTTTGACTTTCGTACATGATAAATAAATTCTGCAGTAGTTGCAGCACAGCAGAGCAAATAATGAAAAAAATCTTTAATTTAATAAAAATTATTAAAAAGAAATCTTTTTTTTACGAAAATCAAACAGACGCAGTTTTATAATATAAAAGCGAAAATATGCGAAAAATTTCAAATGCATTTTGATGCTTAAGAATCGAATGAAAATAGTGACTTGATCTGATCACGACCGGTTGTTGGTGGTCGGCTGGTCTGCTTTTCATTGTCACGTTAAAAATGCTTTTTTTATTGAAAAATAAAAATAAAGGCAAAATCAATAAAAAATAATTACCTTACCCCCCCCCCCCCCCCACCAAAATACTAGGAAATAAATATTTAATATTATGAATGCCGTAAAAATAAAAAATTGAAGAAAAAAAAAAATGTTGTCGAAATCAATTTCATTATAAGCCAAAAGCAAGCCCTAACATATAGATTTATTTACTTTATTATTATTTTTTATTCGAATGTGTTTTTTTTATGAATTCATCGGTACTATATTCTCGTTTGTAACCTGTTTCCATATTAAAGATGAGTTTAAAAATTTAATGAAAACCCAAAAAAAAAAAAAAAAAAAAAAAATTGAGGTCAAAATAGAGCAAAGAGAGAGAGCAGCAGAAGATGACAGAATATGATAAAGCTTAAGAAGTTTTCAATGATTTAATAATAATTTTAAAGTAATCAAAAAAGAAAAGGTATAAAATCGGAAAGCAACAACACAACAACAACACCAAATAGATAGATTTCTTCCATAAGATATACGAGTTTCACTGTTATTTAAACAGGGAATTTTCCTTATGACTCCACTAATTGGCATTTGATTCTTTTTGAAGGCGACTTATTTACCAGATAACAGGTTTGCATGTCGCGTCTTGCGAAACTCTTGCGAAATAATACTTAAAAAGAAGGTTCGTTTCTTGATAAATTTCCTTAAAAATCTCGGTATGCGTGTTAAAAATTTAACCAGCACCAGCAGGATATATTCCTGCAGCAAGCAACAAATAGTTAAATAAAGCAAACAAAAAAAAAAAAAAACTATTCACTATAGAACGAATCTTGGACACCTGTTAACTAAGATGAAAACACAGCGTTGTAGCACAATATCTACAAAATATCCATTTTTATGGGAGATTCTCTTCTTCTTCTTGTTTTCAGGTTGACGACAACATTTTACTCAAAAACTTGCTTTCGTGCTTCACGTACACCACACCACGCTAGCTTCAAAAAAACTGTGGTAATAGTAATCGTTGCAAATAGGCGAACGAGTAAAAAGCTTGTGAAACAATTCACATCCACATAAAGTCGCTGCGTTAATCACCACACCTGGGAGACAGAAGCGAGAAGACAACTAATCATTGTAGTTGTAATAGATGAGATTTTCGAGACAATTAACCGAAGTGAATGCATCTAAACTAATGGGCCTTTATACGATAACTTAAAAATTGATGCCGAATTACTCTAATACTATTCCCGCAGGCTTGGACAGAACATAACTGTCCTTCGGGACAATTCTTCTGACAATCAGTTACGAGTCAGTTTTTAAAGAGTGGACATGTTTGCGATAAGGTCGTAATCTCTTTTAATTATGGATTTGAATATTCATACGATGACTTATAGCCACAGCTAAAACGGTACTAATGTCAGTGTAAATGCTCGTATTTTCAGAGAGAGAGAGGTAGGTCCCCTCTCCCTCTCTCGCTCTCTCTTCCCCTTTTAAAATATGCGTACTAGACATAATTATCGAAGGCAAAGCTGTGCGCTAAACATGCCGTACGACCGATCAGGCACTCGAATTATTACAAAAGAAGCACAGCTTGAGAAGGCTAACGAGAGAGCAACAGAGAGAGAGAGAGAGAGAGAGAGAGAGAGAGAGAGAGAGAGAGAGAATAATGGTAGCAATCAATTTTCAAAAATTTGCATCAATTCCTATCATTTCGTATTTATAAGCCCCAGGTTTTTTCAAACTTGGCGCAGAATATTGAAAATCGAATGCCAATTATATGGCAATCGTTAAAATCGATTACCAAATATGACATAGGAAAACAAACACATAGCTAATAATACATCTCTCGAATCGTAGGAATGTAAGAGAGTACACAAACATTTTTTTTATCAAGTTTTTTTAGTTTCTCTCGTGTGACCCAAAAGTTTACAGCCATTAGAGAATAAAAGTTAAAATTATTTGCTATACCATCTTAAAGCAACAGCGCAAATTGTGGAGGGTGCAAGCATTGCTAAACGTGTTCAACTCACATTAAATACAGGTCGCACACGGTAATATGATAGAAGCTTACAAGCACCATTAGACGAACGAAATCGGTTACCCCCTCAAGGAGAAGAGAGAGATAAAAAAAAAAAAAAAAAATTCAAATCCATGTCAATTTTCTGTTTTCTTTCTTCAAATTCTACAAACACTTGGAGAACCTAACTGGTTGTTGCTTAGCCTATAAAAGAAAAAAAAAAAAAAAAAAAAATGTTTTGATACATAATTATCGCAAATGATATATAAGAGATGTGAAGCGTGGATAAGGCGCGAAATGATTGATACGTCATTCGCTTTTTTATAATCTTTAAATATATTCATTATTACGAATTGATCGATCGCCTCTCTTCCTTCTCTTTACTCAACTGCTTTATTGGGAAAAAAAAAAATCAAGTCTTACCGGCAAATAATGGCAAAATTTACCCATTTTTAGGTGAGACAAATGTTTAAAGACCAATTCGAATTGTCTACGTGCAGTGCGCAATAATTAAACGTTTTGTAGTGACGTTAGAGATTTCTAATAAAATCTGGAGAGGTAGGTGAGAAGATTGAAAGAAAAATAATGCTTTTAAAGTTTGATATGATAATTCTTTGGCTTCTTAGCTTGAAGGCGCATGCAAGTATTTTTATCTGTTCCAAAGAGCTATGAGAAGGAGGGAGATATTTGAAAACTTTATCTTGAAAAATTAATGATTTTTGTTTTTTTTTTTTTTTTTCTTTAAAAGTCTTTAGCATTGCTGCTGCTGCTGCTGCTGCTGCTATTGTTGTTGTTGTTGTAGCTAAACTTAATATATCCTCTTTTATTAAAAAAATATATGTCAGAAGAAATCTCACTGAACTTAAGTGCTTTGAACTTTTCAAGCGGATAACGAAGGTGAGAATAAGCAGAGTATATAGCATAAGGCAATCGCAACGGCAACGTCTGGTTGCTTTTTTTTTTAATTTTTTTTAATTTTTTTTTTTTTCATATTGCATAAAAACAAACTACAAATAAATAAGACTAATTAAAAATTATAGAAAGAAGAAAACGTAATCGTGTTTTAAGGACTGGAATCCAAAAGCGATAAAGAAAAATACTAAAATCGAATCCTTAAGTTCAGGCACGATAAGCGATTTATGTATGTTTGCAATTAAGTCGGGCAAGGCAAGGCAAGGCAAGGCAAGGCAAGGCAAGGTAAGGCAAGGCAAGGCAAGGTAAGACAAGACAAGGCAAGGCAAGGCAACAAATTTTTGGAAAACATTCTTAAAAAGATTTGCAAATACTTATGAATTTATTTTATTCGCAGAGATTTTACGTTACAGGCTGCAAAAAGTGATAAATTAATGAATGAAAAGTAAAGAGATGGAGTCATAAAAACAATTTTTTTTTTTTTTTTTAAAGCAATTCTTTCTCTTTGTTACATAAACTATGATTATTGGTATTATTATTGTTATTGTTATTGGTGTTGTTGTTGTTGTTGTCGTCGTTTTTAATTATTGTTTTTGATTATTATTATAATTGTTGTTGTTATTGTTGTTGTTGTTTCTGTTGCTGCGGTTGCTGCTGTTATTGTGTTTAAATATGTTAAATTGTTCTTCTCTATTATTTAATTAAAACGAAAAAGGTTTTGTTTTAATGTGAATACGTGTGTTTTGAGTACATATTGTTTACTGGGTTATATTGGTTGTTGCTTTTTTATTCGAGTGTTCTGTTTGTTTTGTAACCCTTTTGAATTTATATTTGATATGTATATTTTTATATATTTAATTAATGTTTGATTTTTTTTTTTTTTTTTTTCAACATAATAGATTCAAATTCAATTCTTTTAGTCAAAAATGCCAAAAACAAATACAAATGCATTCAAAAAACTTTGAACTTCAAATTTCATTTTAATAAAAATATAAAATATATTATTGCATATTTTTTTTTTTTTTTTCATTTTATTTTATTATTTTTTTTTTTTCCAAATATATTTAAGCAAAGTGCAAAATATGGAAAACAATTCTTTACATACCATTCCTGAAGGCAGTGAATGAGACATACGCCACATACGTTCACCGCTGAAATTAGAAGAAAAAAACAAATAAATATTTTAATAAAGGAGCTGTGTGTAATAAAAGAAAACGAGAAAAATGAAAAAAAAAAAAAAAAAGTTAAAATTGAAGAAGAAATAAATAAACGAAAATTAGTATTTTTGTAAGGCGTTTTTTTCTTTTACATTTTCAAAAATTAAACAAATACGTGAAGAAATATAAATTCAATGAAATGAATGCAAAATGATATTTTTTTTTTCCAAATCTCATTACATTTTTTAATTTTGTAATTTTGTAATTTTTAACATTCAACTTATAAAAGTTTTAATTTAAAAAGATGGCAAAATGAATCTTTGTTTTCTGTAAAATTTCCCCAACCGGCCCTGATTTATGTTTCGCGATTATTATTTAATAAAAAAAAAAA